TCCAGCAGCAGGTTGAAGAACAACACGTGAGCGATGGACTCTGACTGAACACCTGTACCGGCGGCTGCTTGGGGCCCCTGGTTACTGGCAGGAGGCCATGAAGTCATAAACTTTTGTGTGAATAAAGTTCAAAAGATAAAATCCAACTCGAGAGACACTGATAAACTTCTGAAGGCGAGAGCGACTCTGGGTCAAAGGTCACAGGTCAGTGCTGCTGTGCTCTGATTGGCTGATGTGCCAGGTGTTGGACACCTGAGAACGGTGTGTCAGAGCCAATCAGCAGCACTGCCCATGACACATCCTCGTCTCCACTGAACAGTCCAACGGGCCGTCAGCACGTATGTTCTGGTTCTGAACGGTCTTTAGATGGAACCTTTGCGGCTGCGGAGTTGATCCAACGTGGAGACTTTCACCTTGACGTCTGGAAGAAGAATCTTCTTCCTTTTTATAACTTGGCCCATTGAACCTTGTGTACAGAGTAGAATGAGTTTTTGTTTATTTTTGTATTGATCCCCGTGACACGCACAGCGGCATCCAAACATATAGAAAGAAAGTACAAGGAAACAATAATTAGTAATAATGATAATGAACCTTCTGTGTGAGATGTCAGTTGAAGGAACACGGTCCAGACGCAGCAGAACACCTCAGCTTGGTCGTCTCTGTGTGTACGTTAGTTTAGCTAGAGTGCAGCTGAACTACAGGAGAACCACAGGACCCGATGAAACAAGTTAGTCAGTGGAGCATGGATTCAGCGCCGTGTAGATGATGGACGTTCCCTCACAGGGATCCCTGACGTCAGCGGCTGATGTTTGTCTGTAAAGGACGGTGGCCCGCGGTCAGGACGGTGGCCCGCGGCCAGGGTGGCCAGGACAGTGACAGAGACTAATGCTACGCTAACAGCTAGCGCCTCAGTTAAAAGGCAGCTGCAGATCAACCTGGTCTGAGTCTGGAGTCTGGAGAAGAAGAACGAGTTGCGCTTTCACCTGTAGAAGTGACAGAACAGAGGAAGATGAATAAAACAGAAGAGCAGCAGCTGGTTGATGAACGAACAGATCATCTGATTTTCTTAATGACAGGCTCTGATGAAGGACAATGTGTGAACGTGGATGAGTTTGTGGTTACACAACGGTCAGGACAGTGAATTAAATGGTTCTGAGCCTGAACAGAACCACCTTCAATTCTGAACTAAGCGTGATGCTGACTCGCCCAAACAGAACAAGTGTTGCCAACGGCGCCCGACGACCTTCTCGTTAATGTTAACAATGTTGTAATCTGATTGGCTAAGGACAGATGGCAACTCTGAGCGCCCTGATTGGCCAGTTGTACCTCTCGTAGCCTCAGGGCCTGACAGCCAATCAGATTACAGCAGGGCATCTGCTCGGTGATGTCAGGCCGTTACCATGGTTACGGCTCTGCAGCGAGCTGGTTCGCACTGTGATGTCATCGCCGTTCAGTCTGTGTCTGTCTTTGGGCGAGTCGACATCAGCGAGTGGAAAAGTGAGACTGGAAGCA